ACAAGTATAGAATATACAAAAATTCTGTGCGTCTCCTGGGGGCTAAGACCCCTTGTCCTTAAAAACCTAGTGACACCCCTGGAGTGAACAGAACACTCCTGAAGTGTTTACAGTTCAAGATAGCCTTTTATTTAACATCTGCAATGACTAAATTTAAGATAATTATTGCTCACAACCTTTCCTCAGAACCCTGCATTAAAATGAAAGATTTAGCAGATACTGTCCCAGCCAGTGTCGTGTTTAGGGCTGAAAGTCCCATCTTCTCTGGTTCCAGCTTCTGCCCCCTTATCGGGGGTATCGGGTTTTTCAGCCTTATACTTTCAGCAGCTGCACCCTGGATGCTTTTGTTATTTGTTAAACCAGTCAAACCAGCATAGAAGAACCTGAGGGGGTGGGGTACTGGTACTACTTCTTCTTCCTTTTCATAAATGACCTGAGCAGCTTCAACTCTAAACACCACATATTACTGGTTTTATTGTTTTTTTTATATGATTTAACTCAGGATGTTATAGTTATGAMCTGTTTGAAGGTTTTACTCAGATTGTTGGTGTGTGTTCTCAGGTTACAGCAGCAGGTAGGACAGTGATTGGTCGAGCAGGATGAGGCTCTGTCAGCCTGTTGGCTGCATGTTACACGTCAGCAGTCAACATGTATCATCCTGCTGTCAAAGCTTCTTCCTGGTGTTGAACCACGGCGCTGCGCTCGAGGTGAGTTCAGACTGAAGTCACAACTTTGTTTGAAAGCTGCTTTTCTTTCAGCTTCTTTTCTTTTATCTTCACAGACGAGTGTTTGGAACATGTCACAGCTTCCCGCCGGGTTGGAGGAAAAGCAGCCGTGAGACTCGCTCGGTTTGACGGGAAACGTCACGGGACTTTTTTTTTTTTTTAAACCGGAGTCGCACGAGGAAACGACATATCAAAGCGGGTTTACGATGCCGACGCGCGCGAGAAGGTGAATGACATCATATTTGTTGAATTCCACCGTTTGCTGTTATTAACTAATTAATTAAAAAAAAGTAAAAACAATGAGGCTCCGGCTGCTCAGGAGGAATGTGCTCGCGCTGCTGGGAGTTGTTCTTGTTGTTGCCGCCCTCCTGTTCTCCACGCGCGTGTTGCTGCTTTCTGAAGATGACACGAGAGGACCTGACGTGATCCAGCGCCCCGAACCTGCTGACGTAAAGTTCAGCTTCGGCTCCACGTCCGAGCTGTCCCAGTCTGTTTACAGGGCCAACTACAAGCAGGTTGTTCTGAACGCAGACACCTTTCCAGGGGAGCCCCAGTTGGTTCTGGTTGTGCAGGTTCACAACAGGCCCGAGTACCTCAAGCTGCTCGTCAGGTCTCTGCAGAGAGCTGCCGAGATCGATGGCCTCCTCCTTATCTTCAGCCACGACTACTTCTCCGAGGAAATAAATGCCATTGTGCAAGGGATAACTTTCTGCAAGGTTCTGCAGATTTATTTCCCCTTCAGCACACAGCTCTATCCCAAAGAGTTTCCGGGGCAGGATCCACGAGACTGCCCCCGAGACACGTCCAAGGACGACGCTCGCAGAGCAGGATGCCTGAACGCCGAACACCCGGACTCGTACGGCCACTACAGGGAGTCGCACATCACCCAGACAAAACACCACTGGTGGTGGAAGCTGCACTTCGTCTGGGAGCGAGTGCCGGCCCTGCAGGGCTACAGCGGCTTTGCGGTCTTCCTCGAGGAGGATAATTACATTTTACCGGACTTTTTCAGGTTTTATAAGTTAATGCGAGATTTCAGGGAGGACAAATGCCCAGACTGTGACATGCTGGCTTTGGGGAACCACAACGAGCTGAAGGATTTCACCAGCGTGTCCAATAAGGTGTTTACCACTGGATGGATGTCCACCAAACACAACATCGGTATGGCCATCTCCAGGGCGGTGTACTACAAGCTGATGGGCTGCAGCGACGAGTACTGCACCTACGACGACTACAACTGGGACTGGACGTTGCAGCACCTGTCTGGGACCTGCATACCGAAGCCCCTCAAGGTGCTCGTAGCCCAGGGCTCCAGGGTTCTGCACACGGGAGACTGTGGTCTTCACCAGAAGGAGAACTGCAGACCGGAGTGGGCCTTAAAAAAGGTCAAGGACATCCTTCATACGGCGAGGCTTGGTCTCTTTCCTCAGCGTCTTGTCCTTAGTGGGTCAGAACTCGTCGAGCACAAGGAGCACATGAAGAACGGAGGATGGGGAGACATTCGGGATCACGCTCTTTGCAAAAACTATTCCAAACGTCTTTGAACTGGGCCTCCATCTTGGGCTGAATGGGTAACTGGTAGTTTATAAATGTGCCATTAAAAAACTTCAGGGTTATTCAGGCTTTAAGGTTTCATTGTACAAGGTCGTGGACCATTGGACCAAGTGAAATTTAAGAAATTATGAGCGGTGGTGGTTTTTATTTTATTTTATTTTATTTTATTTTATTTTTTCTGAACTTCCATTTTTAATTCACCAAAGCTGCAACTGGTGCCAAAACCTTTTTATGGTGATGAGTTCAAGCT